GAAGGAAGGAAGGAAGGAAGGAAGGAAGGAAGGGATAGAAGATAGTATATGCAGACAGACAAAGATTAGATAGACTAGACTAGATAGATAGATAGCAGTAGGTAGGTAAGTAGATAAGATAGACAGAAAGACAAAGACAGAAAGGCAGAGATGGATGAATGGACAGATGGATAGAAAGACACATCATAGAAGTATAGAATTGTAGTGCTAGAAGGGAGTTGAAGGATCATCTTCTAGCCCAGTGTTTCTTAACCTCGTAGGGGGCATGCATAAGCACACCAAAGTGCCAACCGTCCCTGTCCTATTGTTTCTTTTCTATTTCTTATATGTACTCATTTCTTGTATTCATAACTAGGTTTATCCTTATACCTATTATCTTGTAAGCGATTGACAAATAAAATAAATAAATAAATAAAATAAATTTGAAGGCGTTTAGACTTCATCTCCCAGAAGTCCCTAGCCAGCATGGAGACCTTATCTGGCATGTACAGGAAAAGCAGGCAGAGAATAAGGTAATACAACCCACACAAATAAACATTTATTTATGTTTTACCCATATCACACACACACACACACACACACAGAGAGAGAGAGAGAGAGACAGACAGACAGACAGACAGACAGAGGGAGAGAGAGAGAAAGAGAGAGAGAGAAAAAAAATCGGTTGAGCGTTCTCTTCAATTCTTTGTTCTTCTTGATTCCTATTTATGGCTCCCATTTGATTGCCCTTGATTTAAAAAGCTTCTCATTACAAGAATCTGATGCTTTTTTTAGGTAAACTGTTAACATTTTTATTAAAATCACACACAGTATCCTACATTTCCCCTTTATTAAAACAGTCTCCTTGACATGAGCCCATAATAACTCCTTCAAGTTCAGAGCAGGAGTGATTTAGATTAATTTTAGAATTAACAGAGTTGGAAGGGACCTTGTAGGTCATCTAGTCCAACCCCCTCGCCCAAGCAGGAGACTGTACACCATTTCTGACCAGATGGCTGTCCAGTCTCTTCCTGAAAGCTTCCTGGGATGAAGCTCCCACAAGCTTCATCACTTCAGATCAATTTTTTCTCCTTAATTTCTAGGTTGGTTCTCTTCTTTTCTTGGCCACAATCTTGAAAGCGGGGACCTCATGTCTTCTTCCAAACTTCGATTTCCACTCTACACTGCTGGATTTCCTAGTGGTGCCCTATCCATCTGTCTCACCCAGGTCTGACCTTTTCAGGCCAGTCAAGGTCGCCAAGCCATAAGTCCAAGCCCTATACATATCCGTAAGCTGTAATATATATATATATATATATTCAAAATAAATTGCCCACTTCTACGCTCTTCACCACCAGCAGTTGGCAGTACCAGACCAGCGGTGATGATCACCTATTTCTGGAACCGACATCCAACTTGCTTAGAGGAGCCCAGACTCTGCCAGGCAGCTGGGAAGCCCAGAGGTGGCTGGTCCACATTTCCACAGTCCGAGTTTTGATCCTCTGTTGCAGCCGAAGCGTGTTTAAGGGTACCCCACCCAAGCCGCTGTGGGTTAGAGACACGGGACCCCTTCATGTGTGAACACACACACACACACACACACACACGTGTCAAACAGCACTCATAGTACATAGCTCTGCCACCAGTGAGGGTTCGGGAACAGCTGTGGTGTGCACAGCACGCAAGCCTCTTCTTGCCATCAGGGTGAGTTGGGGAAAATCCCTGTCACGTGAACACACAAGGGTGCATACATACATACAGAGAGGGAGGGAGGGAGAGAGAGAGAGATGCCACCAGGGAGGCTTCAGGAGCAGCTGAGGCTACCCCAAGCCTCTGCCCGCCATCGCAGCGGCGTAGAGACCGAATCCCGTCTCGTGTGAACATCCCCACGCGCGTCCAGACACACGCACACACCCCTCCGACGGAGCGAATAGCTAGGCTCCGGGAGCAGCTGCGGCGTGCTTAAGAGGCGGAGACGCCGCCATCCGAATGGCTTAAGAGGCAGAGAATCCCGTCACGTGTGAACATCCCCACGCGCGTCCAGACACACACGCCCCTCCGACCGAGCGAATAGCTAAGGCTCCGGGAGCAGCTTCGGCGTCTCCTCCTCCTCCTCTTGCTGGCCCACCGCCTCCCGGCGCGCCAGCCGAGCCCTCCTCCTCCTCCTCCTCCCTCCAACGCCTGGCGAGGAGGGGGCTGCCCCAGCGCCGGGCCTGCGTTCGCCTCGCCTCTTCTCCGCCTCCTGCTGACGTCTCGCCAGCCGCCTGCAAAACTCCGGGCGGCGGCGGCTGGCTGGCTGGCTGGCTGGCTGGCTTGGCTGGCAGCGGCCGGGGCGAGCCAAGCGAAGGCGGCGGCAGCAGCAGCAGCAGAGAAGCTGCGCTGCGCGATGGTGGCGACGACGGCGGCGACGACGGCGGGGGCGGCTTCTTCTTCTTCGGCGGCCGGGGTGGCCTCCCCGTGCAGCCGGCGGCTGGCTCGGCGCTCGCACTCGGCGCTGCTGCTGGCGCTCACCGTCCTGCTGGTGCAAACGCTGCTGGTGTGGAATTTCAGCAGCCTGGATGCGGCCGACGAGCAGCAGCAGCAGCAACGGCGGCAGCAGCAGCAGCAGCAGCAGCCTCCGCGGAGAGGCGCCCTCGCCGCCGCCGGCAACAGCAACAGCCGGAGCGGCCACAGTAGCAGCAGCAGCAGCAGCCGCCGGCGAGAGAAGCGAGACCTGGAGAGCCGCGACGGGCCCCGGGCGCCGCAACCCCGCCGCGCGGCCGGCGCTTTCCGCGGCAAGGCGATGATGGTGAGTAGAAGAGATGAGAGGGAGGGGAAGGGGGCGGCCGGGGAAAGCCGGGGGAGGGGGAGCTCTTCCCAGGGGATGTAGAGAGGGCGGCTGGGGGAAGGACCCCCACCACCATCCCCTTCGCCAGAGGCTGAGGATGCTGCCGCCCGTGCGCAACCTTGGGAAAGGACGGGGAGGGGCAAAGAGGGGCTTCTCTGGGCAGGGTACCTTTGGGGGAGGGCTCCGGCTTGGCGACCTTGGCTCTCTGCCCCCCCTCCCCTTCCTTGGGCGTTGGAGGGTGCAGGGCCCAGGTGGGGCTCGACCCCTTGGAGAGAGAGAGAGAGTTCTCCTCCCCCCCCCCCACGTGGAGACTTCCAAAACACCGGGAAGGTCGGGTTGACCCAAGAAGACGGGCGACGCACGCCGGAGATTTCCCGGAGAGACGCTTTAGTTGGTAGCAAAGCGCTAATTTTGGGGCTGGGGGGGGAGAGGAGTTGGTTGGGGTGGGAGGGTGGATTGTGCCCGCTTACCTACCAACTTGCTGCTCTCAGGTTGCCTTAAAACGTTAGCAAACCAGCGTAGCAGAGGAGAGAGAGAGAGAGAGAGAGAGAGAGAGAGGAAAGAAACTGCTCCGGTAGTTAAGTCCGGAGCTCGAGGTGGGATCTTACTAAGGCGAGGAAAGATGTAGGAATGAGCCGCGTTCTTTCGCTTTCTCCTTTGCAAGCAGGCAAAGAGCATTTTTTTTATCTCGGGATTGCGCCCTCCCCGCCTAAGCACGTTTATTTATTGAGCTAAACTAGCGGTCTCCCCCTCCACAGCCCATGTGGTTGGATTCACACGACCCGCGAAGCTGGACAGGAGAGCGCGATAGATAGATGGTAGGTAGGTAGATAAGGAGGGAGAGAGGGAAAGAGAGAGAGGAGGGAAAAAGAGAGGGGGGCAGGGAAAAAGAGAGGGGGGAGGGAAAGAGAGGGGCAGGGAGGGAAAGAGAGAGAGGAGGAAAAAAGAGAAGGGGAAGGAAAGAGAGGGGGGCAGGGAAAAAGACAGAGGGAGGGAAAGAGGGGGAAGGAAAGAGAGGGGAGGGAAAAAGAGGGGGGGGGGAAAGAGAGAGAGAGGGAGGAGAGAAAGAGAGGGAGGAAGCTAACCCAGGCTAAGTTTATACAACCTCTTTTGTGTAAGCTAGCTAGTTGTTTGCTAAATGTCAGTTTGGTTTGCTTCTTGTTAACTCAAAGGCTACTCTGCTTTCTGCAACTTGCATTTCCCCTCCTTTGTAGAGAAAAAGAGACACCCAGCTACTTCCCTGACACTTTGGTGGCACTTCCATGCATCCCTGATTCCCCCCCCCCCCACCCTAAATTGCCTCGATGACATTGAAATGCCAGAGGACCAAAATATAGCAAAATCTGCGATATTTATTTATATTTCCTGGAATAGATCCTTGGTTAAATCTGGAGGCAAACTAGAGGATTGGGCTACAGGTTGTCAGCCAGACATCACGGACCATTGAGAATGGAGCTTGGTGTTGGTTTACATCTAGTTTTGGCACCGTGTGCGGGAAATGTGGGCAATCACCATAGAAGGTTAATGAGTCTCTTTCACATCGTTGTGTTGTCAAGCTTGATTGACGTCTGAGGACCTTCTTAAAATTGTCCGCCTGTGGGGTAGGCTTGAGGAGGGGGTGGAAAGCAGGCGCAGACTTCACCTGAATTCTCCTCTAATTTCTGGAAGCCAGATCCTAGATGCCAGGGTTCCTCAACATGGGCAGCTTGAAGATGTGTTGGACTTCAGCTCCCAGAATTCTCCAGCCAGCATGCTTTCTCCTTTTCTGAAGAAAGGGATGGTACTGTTGTCCCCAATTCAGGTCTGAGCCTGGTGCCAAAGCCAACGATAGACGCCAGGCACAAGGTGCAAGTTTTCTGATTGCTTTTTATTGGAGTACTTACTCCAAGCAAAAGGGCTCATTTTAGTAATGATTCTACAATTTGTTCTCTTGGTCTCTAGCTGTCCCTATCCCCAAGTCTTGGTTAATGAATGCCCTAGGAATCATCTAATTCACATTTGATTTGCTGCAGGCCTAACTTTTAGCTGAGGTCTGCAAGTTGGTTGCTTTTATCAGCTTTCCGATTAGCCAGGATTGTTACAAGATTTACATAGGCACATGTCCTGTGGATAAGGATTCTTTGTTCTTGCAGACAGACTCCACAATTACAGGCTTCCTGATTTACTTTGAAGTGTGTGCCATGACCTGGCTTTATTTTATCAGATGGCCCAACAGTACGATAGTCCAATTCCTTTGGGCATCTAATGTGGACAAGGTGTGGACTTCAGCTCCCAGAATTCAATGCGTGGACCATCTTCAATGTGTGGACTTCAGCTCCCAGAATTCCCCAGCCAATATGTTTCCCCCATTTAGGGTTTCTCCCAGGGGTGGGGTTCTACCAGTTCGCACCTATTCACTAGAACCGGTTGTTAACATTCGAAGCAGTTTGGAGAACTGGTTGTTAGAAGAAATTACTGGGCTAATCCTGTAAGGAAGGCAGGAAGGAAACATTCTGGTGTTGCTTACAGAAACTGCCTCTCCCTTAACTCTTATTACATTCTTGGTAGGACTAGACTTCCTGTCTCAGGAACGTGTCTGGAGTTTTTCCCCCCCTCCTTTGCTGGTACTTTGCTTGCGTGGAGTGACCATTCAAAGTTACAATGGCACTGAAAAAAGTGCCTTATGACCATTTTTCACACTTATGACTGTTGCAGCATCCCCACAGTCATGAGAGACCAGGCGAGGAGATGCGTGCCTTGATGTGAGTGATATTGAGTTGGCCACCCCCAGCCAATAACATGACCACCAAGCCATGTCCACCCAGTCACATGACCACCAAGCCACGCCAACCACCTAAGCCACGCCCACAGAACCGGTTGTTAAAAATTTTGAATCCCACCCCTGGTTTCTCCTTTTCTGAAGAAAAGGATGGTACGATAGTCCAATTCCTCTGATGTAATGTAATGTAATGATGTGATGTAATGTAATGGATCTGATGTGGGCAATGTATGGACTTCAGCTCCCAGAAATCAATGTGTTGACCATCTTCAACACATGGAATTCTGGGAGCTGAAGTCCATACATCTTCAAGATTCCCAGATTGGGAACCACTGTCGTGGGCTTAGTGAGATCATAGCATCGGATGCTTCTGAACTGCATACTGTCAAAGCTTCCTCAGCCTTCGGTGAAGGCTTTTGGCTCACCTAAGAGAGAAATCTAGCTTCTCAGGTTGACCTGAAGATTGGCAGTTCATCCAGTGACTCGAATGCAAAAGTTGACTAAGCTGTCTTGCTTTTCTATTGCTGATCGAAGCCAATGCTGGGAACAATTTCTCTTGCTGGGATCCATTTTCCCATAGTCCTGCTTTTTCGAAAGACTCTGAAAACCCCTTTCCTCCCCTCCCCTCACCCTCAAAATCATTTCTCCAGGAACCCCATCTGTCTTGCTCTCATTATGTTTTTTTGTTTTTGTTTTTAAAGAAAGATAGGAAGCACTTAATCCGTTCCAGTTGACTTCTATTTCCTGTAATCGCTGAAACGGTTTTAAATTTTCAGATATATAGTGTTATGATGGCTGCAAGCTGGAGCTGCCTTGTCAAGAAAGCATTTCCAGCTTGTCTGAAAGAGGGAGTTAAAGACGCTGGAAACGAAACCATAATTGTGATAAATAACAGAGGCACATTTTTTTTGCGGTGGTCCTGTGATCGGATCTCATTCCCATCCCTCGCCTTACCGTATGCAGACGAGTTCCTGGAATCCTCATAGGGCTGGAAGGACCCTCAGAGGTCTTCTAGTCCAACCCCCTCGCTCAAGGCAGGAGAAGACCTTGTACACATACCTTGTGTCTCTCTTCAACAAGCTTCCACTCATGCTTTCTTGTTTCTCTGGCTGGAGAATTCTGGGAGTTGAAGTCCACAAGTCTTAAAAGTTATTAAGGTTGGAGACCCCTGCTTCAATCCCCTTCTTTTCTCAAATACTGGAAGACAGCTATCATCATCATCATCATCTCCTTTTAATGACCTCATAATCCCTTGGGAGGTGGAGTCTGGGAAACTGAATGGTGTGTTTACTGGCTGGATGCCTTTCCTGTCACCAATGCAGAGTTCTGTTCGGCCGATAGAATCTCAGTGAGCCCAGAGATAGAAATGGAAGGCAGGTTGGTAGCAATTGTTTTGTCTGCAGTCCTAATTACTCTTTATAAACCCTCTTTTATATTTAATTCCTACCTAGCTATCATCTTTCTTCAACTAATTTCCACCTCTTCTCTCTTTAACCAGACTGCTGAGTAATCTGGCAAGGCAGTGTTTGATCTCTGAGAAATGAACCAGGCTACCTGTTTTTCCACAGTGGTTTTTCTTGTCAACCCAGCGACGGAAACCTTGCGATCGATCGTGGTTTCTTCTCACCGTTGCAAGAATGGCTGTGCATTAGGCCAGCTGAAAAGGAGCAAAGAAAGAGAGACGAAGATGGTGGGAAGCATTAGAGTGGCTTTCCCATTATTTTTTTTCTTTCCTCTTAGAAGTATTTAAGAGGAAACGTACGGCTAAATGCAGCTGCCTTTAGATGTCCGCCTGGGTGATTACTCTAATGGCTTTCTGGCAGGGATTGGAGCGGCAGTTGTGCTTTCTGGGAGTTGTGGTCTGGCCCAATTGGAAGGGCAGATAGACCAACATTTCTCAAACATGGCAACTTTTAAGACCCCGTGGATTTCAACTTCCAGAATTCCCCAGCCAGCCATGCTGGCATTCTGGGAGTTGAAGTCCATGGGGTCTTAAAGTTGCCATGTTTGAGTAATACTGAGATAGAGGAAGGCTATAAAGAAACTACAGGAAGTCATCCTTCTTCTGGAAGATCTTCTTCGGCTTTGAGGGACATAACGATTGTACAGAATCCTGACTATGATGGACAGTAAAGAAAGTGGAAGCTAAATAGCCATTTAGTCCAGGGGTCTTCAAACTGGACAGCTGTAAGGCTTGTGGACT